TTTCAAAAAGACAGTTTTTCTTCCCCAAATATTCAAGGGTTCCTCAATTCAATTTTTAAAATGACTACCAAAATCAACCAGTTAAGTATGAAAATTATTCATTCCCTCCAAAAAATGTAATACCAGCACTACAATATGTGGCATAAGTGTGCACACATAAAATGTTTTTTAAGTTAACACTTAACTTAGAATGCAATATGAGGGAGGCTGTTTTCTTATGGTATTTGTATTCCCTTAAAATTCTAGACTCTGTTTAGCAGTTTCATATTTTTCAAGATTCAACATTACTTGAAATTCTTATGTCCAATAATAATTTGTGCATTTATAGGTATATGAAGTAGCTTCTAAGTGAAAGGACATTACCTGGTAATTTGACAGGAAAAGAGTCCACAGACAGTCTGTAAACCAATTAAACATAAACATCTGATGCACATTTTCTACTGAAAGAAAAGCAAGGGAAAGAAGAGAAAGGAAAACTTTAAGGTTCCCAAATCTACAAACAATTTTTACCATTAACTGTACTGTACAGTATTTTCATTTTATTTTTTAGAATACTTATATAAAAATGTTTTTCAGGATTCCTTAGGGGGATAAATATTTTTGCATGTATATAGTTTCTAAGTTACCCTGTTGAATTTCCTTAGTCCTTAGCACTTGAAATAAAAATGGCTTTTTCACATAATTTTTCACTTTGAGATGCTTGATGGAAGCAGCTAAAGGCAAAGAATACTGGATGTGCATAGAGTTGAGGTGGGTAAAGATAAAAATAATAAGGGGCCTTGAGGTAGAAACTCAGGCTTTATAATACCATGGGGATAAAGGGGGATTTTCCATTTAAATACGAAAGCTAATATATGAAATTTATGTAGCTGGTTACCAAAAGGAAAGTTTTAAGTTGTTGTCAAAAAAAGCAAGGTACAGGAATAGTTTGCTTGCTTAAACCCATTTAATCTCAGATTCTCCAGTTAAACCTTCAACAAAAATCCCAGCTGTGATAAAGAGCTGGGACTACAACCTCCTAAATTACTGAATGACTTCAGAAATTGTCAGGAAAATTGAGGTCTGAGAAATACCGTATTCTGCTGTGTATAATATGCAGGTTTGCCCAAATTTTTTAGGGAAAAAATAAGGATGCATATTACACATAGGCATAATAAACCCATGTATAATGCGCACAAAATGTGGGTGCGCATTATACACACCAAAACACAGCACTTGAATGAGTATCCATGTTACTGATAAATAACCTTTAAGTTTATTAATATTGTGTATTAATTTACTAATTTTAATTGGCATTATGGTATAGGGGAGAAAATCTTGTCTACACTTTTCTCCTTCCTATTTTTATAAAGATGGGTTCCATGTTTTTTTTTTAGGTTCAAAGATTGTGAAAATAAAGAGAAACAGCTCCAATATTGTAAGTCATCAGTAACACATGACTACTGAATTTAGTACAGTTCTCTCATTTTATTCTAGTGATACACTTATGTTTACACATTTTAGGAGGTGCCTTAAAGAAAGTAAAATCTTTTTCAAAACTCTTGCTAACCTCTTCAGTATCAAATATGTAAAAATTAAGGGTTCATTAGGCATAGAATCTTAGTGTTGGATGGGACTTTAGAAGTATTTAGTCAATTTCTCCTTTATTTAGGTAGGAATCTCTCACTATGTTTCCCCACTTACTACCAAGCTTTTCTGCCTATGTTTAAACACCTCCAATGACTCACTGTGCCATAAAGAAGCTTCTTAAAAAAGAAAAAAGAAAGTAAGAAAAGAAAAGCTCTGCTCTGACAGTCGTGGCTCAGTTGATTGAGCATTGGTCCATGACCTAGAAGGTCACCGGTTCAATTCCCAGTCAGGGCACATGCCTGGGTTTCAGGTTTGGCAGTCACTGGAGCACCTGAGGGGCAACCAATTGGTGTTTCTCACATTGATATTTCTCTCCCTTTCTTTCCCCCTCCCTTTCCCTCTAAATAAATAAATAAATAAATAATAATTTTAAAAAATATAAACAAGTTTTTAAAAGCTCTAATTTTTGGACCATTCTTTTTAGTAAACCAGTATCTACCTCCTCATTATTTCTATCCATTACCCTGAGTTCTTTCGATTAATACAACAGATGTTTCCTTTATATTTAAATACAAACAGTCAATATTTACTCGTATATTTGGGTTAACAAAAAAAATGTTGAAAGCCCATTGATACTAGAAGAGCTTAAAACAAGACAAGACAGTTAAAGGCATAAGAAAATTCACTATTACCTATGAGTTGTTAAATTATTACAGTTTATGGTATTTATTAATGTGACATTCATAATGGTAGTTCTGTTCATTGTAGTATTATGTTTAAACTAAAAAAGTGTGGTTAATTCCAATTTTATATGAGGCTTGTGGCTAATGTCCCAAAACAAAACTAAACAAAACAAAAAAAATCACTATACAAAGCCTGAATAAATGCCTCTTTAGCTCCCATTCCTCACCTAAAGGCTTCCTTATTTTCTGGGAAACTGATATCAACTTTTACCACACTAAGCTACTCAAAACTGCTATTATATTGGGAAATTATTTTTAAGCAATTTAGTGAATGCTCCATTAAAAGTTATTAAACAATTTTATAGAAGATATAATACACATACAAGAATCACTTAAGAGTTATTATTTTGCTGTTAACAAAAGCATTTTAAAGTCACAATTTTCCTTGAACCAATACTTTAACCAATAAGTAAAATTCTTTGAAAATTTACATAATCCTAAGAAACATAAAACACCTGATTCAAATATAATATATACCCATACTGTATAAACAATCTGTTATGCAACTCAAAAAGGTACTTCTCAAAAATGCACGAAGAAAATACTCATAACAATTTAGACTATGGGTTTGTTTGAATAAAACAAATTAATACAGAAAATTCAAAACCCTAAAAACAAATTCTATTGCTAATAATTTTCCGAGTCCCTGAGTCCCTTTTGAGATTTTGTAACTATTTTCTAAAATTTTTGTTTAAAAGTGACAGCCTACACATCATCTGCAGGTAAAAAATTTATGGGTAACTACCAGTTTGGTTGAAAATACCTAAATACCAAAAAACTTCACCTATTTTTAAAAATGGCATTTTAGACAAATTGCAAATTTACTATAATAGGCAGGATACAGAAGCAAGTTACAAAGCAGTAATGCATTGCATTTGGAAGCCCCTCATCTATATGACAATCAGCATCATCATCTTTATGTTAGTTTGGCTTTCACTGCTAACGCCAGCCCAGATCATTCATATAGCCTTGTGGTCCTTCAAAGAACAGTTTTTCTTTTGATAATTTTTATATAGAGAGCTCTGTCCGATGGCCCTATTTTATTAGATTATCACAAACTGGTATTTTTAAAGTTCTTATGTTGTTGGCATGTTATTTTTACCTCACCCAAACTCTAGAAATGATTGGCCCATCTGCAGTTCTCAAACACTGGAACACATCATAATGGTATATTTATATTACTGAGGGAGTTTGGATATTCCCTCCCTTAATCTCCAAGTGTGCCCCTGCCTACCAGCATCACATCCGTCTTGTCTGCATTGAACCTCAACCAGTTGGTTCTTAACCACGTCCGAAACTCAGCCAGGCACTGGGAAAATCGAGCCACCACACCATCTGGATCAAAGGAAAGAGAGCCTCAGTAGTACCTAGACCAGAAAAGATGATACCACAAGCTCACCATTCACCCTGTCTCTAATTTTTTAAAAAATAGCCAGGAATTAGGACAAGGATCTCATGACAATTTTTGAAAACATTAATGAATCTTGAGTCATGCAATTTGTAACCAATGGTAGAGGAATAAAAGTGACCCAATAAATAGGCCACTTCATTCCACCCATAAATGAAGAAGGTTCAGTTAACTCCAAGTCATCTTTGCTAATCGGCCTCAGGACACCGGCTAGTCTTGTAACTATATGTTTTTCGGCAAAATTAAGAATTTTAGCGTTGGAGAAAGCTTTAGGTATAACTGGGGCCCAGAGAGGGGTAGTGACTCGCTCAAGGTCACACAGCAAGTGAGGACCAGAGATGAGCTACAGGCCAGAGATCTTTTCACTAACAGCTGAAGAACAAGGCCATTCAAAGGCAGGGGAGGCATCTGTCCCCAAGAATCTTCCCACCGCCTGGGAGGACCTCGGTCTCTCACAATAATGCCCTCTTTGAGTCTCTTCCCTCCCTAATTCCCTCCAAAGAGATGGTTTGCCCGGGACCCTGCTCACCACAAGGGCTGCTGTGCGAGCAATAGCCTCCCCGGGGCTAGGACACAACCCACAGATACAGGGAGAGGAGGAGCCACAGGGGGCGAGGTCAGCTTAGCCCCACCCCGACCAGGATCTGAAGCCGACAGGAGAAAGGGGCGGAGGCGAACAAGGCTAGGCGAACTCACTCCGCAGAGGATTCCCAGCGCGCCGCAGCCACCGCCGAAGCGAAAGACCGGGCTGGCAGGGGGTGGGCCGGGAAGGAGAGCTGCGCATGCGCCCTGGGTCTCCAGCGCCACTCTGGGAGGGGAGGACAGCTAACTGGGCTGGTTCTCTCGCAGCCCCTCCCCGGAAGTTAAGGGTCTTCCGGGCGGTACTCTGCAGTGGGGGAGGGGAAGGAGAGAAGGGGGATCGAGGACAACTCAGGAGTCCCTCATCCCAAAAAGGACTAGGAGAGGAGAGGTGGTTTATAGAGGCTGCACTTACAGCTGCCGCCGCCGCCACCTTCACTGCTTCCGCCACCGCCTGAAGAATCCCCATCCATCCGCCTGCAGCCGGGGAGACTCAGAGCCTGGGAGGGGCTTTGGGCCGGGGCCTCCAGCCTCCTTCTTCTAGTCGTCTCCCCGAGCTTCCTCTTGCTCCGCCAACCCTCTGCCCTCCCCTCCGCCTCCGCCCTCCTCCTCGGCCTCCAGCCGCCAGCCAACCGCGCGGCCGCTTGTTGAGCCTGGGCTCCACCGTCTCCATGACACCGGGCAAACATTCCGGTGCTTCAGCCCTGGCCGCTAACGCCTAGGGTTGGGGTGCAGGGGCTCCAGAAGCAGGCAGGGAAGGGGGTGGTCGATCACTTCCCAGCCAGTAGTCACCATGCCCATTTCTCCGGTAGAAAGTCGCAAGCAGCCGAGCCTCGCATTGTAAGTTCCGGCGCTAAAACCTTAGCTTATTCCCGTGGGTCGCGGAGGGAACCCTTGTAGAGCCATCTCTTGCTGCATCTGGATTCAATAAGCAGTCCTCGAAGCTTCCAAGCCAAGAGGCAAATGTCTCTCCTTCCTTGGCCTTAATACGGCCGTTTTCAAATCTCCTACAGCTGTGCTTGCTCAATGAGAAAAGACCGAGTTTGTTGAGAACCTGCCTCACAGCACTCTTCCGTTGTTTCGGTCTGCAGTTTCAAGCTAGCTGTGTGCATGCAGTGCCTGTATGTTCTATCCTCCCGATTTATGTGAGCCACCAAACTGACTACTACTTTGCTCTGTAATTGCGGTTTTCTTCTGCCTCCTCCTCATACCATCCTTCCTTAAAATGCATTCCTGCTTACAACATTCTACTCTCCCTGCAACAGGTGAATGAGAGGCTGGAGAAAAGCACACAGCTCTGAGGACTTGTCTGGCTTATACCTTCCAAGTCTTCCTTCGTGGTGCCCCAGCAATGCCACTCAAGTTCCATATTAGTCACTCTCCCAAACTTCCAGACCTTTTTTTCTTCTCTCTTCTCAAACTTTGAACATCTCTCCAATCTCCTCCAGCTAGTAGAACTTATTGCAAATTCTTGGAAGAGAACCCTCCGTTCTCTCTTGAATGATACTCAGATTTTTCCCCATTCTACCACTCCCTCAAAAAAGTTTTCGTAAAGGTTAACAATAGCTTCCCAGCCACATTCAGTGGCCACATCTGTTTCATTCTTAACGCACCCATCAGTAGTTTTGATCTAGTTTATCACTTCTTGAGTTTTCAATTACTTCCTTTGGTTTCTGGGACGCCAGTTCTCCCCTTGATTTATGGATACTTTTCAAATTATTTTGCTGGGACTTCTTCATATCTAAATAATGGAGTGTTCTGGGGTCAGTCTTTAAACCTCTCCTGTTTACGCCTTAAAAAATCACCTATACACTGATGATTCCAAAGTTTATATATCTAGCCAACACCTCTCAAGAAACAGACTTGAAAAAAAAAATCAAACATCGGCACTTAAAAGTTAATGGGCATCTCAGAATTCTTATCCAAAATTGAACTTCTCTAACCTATACTGCAGTAAAGTGGCTATTTTTGCTTTGTTACTCAGTTAAGAACTTTGGCGTATACCCTGCTCCATCAGCCAATTCTACCATTTCTATCTGGAAAATAAATCTAGGCTACCACTCTGATGTAAGTCACTGTAATGCTGCAGTAACCACATAAATGGTCTTGCCAACACCCTCAACACAGTAATCAGTTTGGCTCTTCTCAAAACCCTCCTCTGCCTTCCATTTCTCTAGAAGTGAAAGCTCACCACTTACATTGTTTTACAGTATCTTACCTTGGGCTCTTCCTCTTGACTACACTCCATATTGTTCCACAATTAACATCAGACACATTATTTTCCCACTTCAAGTGTGTGCATTTGATGTCCCTTGTAATATTATACACTCATAATCTCATGGCTCATTTCCTTTACATGTCACCTTATCAATCCTCTAACCACCCTACATACATATAATACTTCTTCCTCCTCAACATTGCTTTATTTTTCTCCATAAAACTTAGCCCTTTTTGGGATACATGTTTGTTAATCTCTTCACCCTAGCTGTGGAACTCCATAGGGGCAGAGATTTTTTCGTTTTGTTCACTGCTATTGCCTAGAATGAGGAAGGCACTCAATAAATATTTGCTGACTGAACGAATGAATGAGTGTTTGTACTTCAGTGACTGGTTACTCTTCATCATGTTTGATTTTTGTTTTGACATGTAGGTGATACGGACACTGGCCTGCAGTGTCCGAGGCATTATGGATGAGACAAAATAAATTCATATGGACTACTGAGTCCTGTGGAGGAAAAGGGACGGTGCAACTTCTCTCTCAAGGGGAGAGCAAGGAGAGCAAGCCTCAGAGCGCCTCAGCCACCCTCTCAAGAGGAGAGAGCCCCGACCCTTGCCTTGAGAAGCTTGTATTGGATTCAGTCTGCATAGGAATACAGGGTGTATATGTAAAGCTCATTAATCATTATCAGGCAGTGAGGATCAAACAATAGATAACATACAAAGAACTCTGAGGGGCTATTTTGAGTCAGGGTCAGCTAGCTAAATGGCCATAAAACTTTGAGGAACAAACTCACTTCCAGCTTGGACACTTATCATTTAATTGAGAGCATTCTAAACAAAACAGGTTTCACAGGATTTTACATATTCCTTCTTAGGCCTGATTGCCCAGGGAACCTGCCCTTTCCAGCACAGGGCTACACCACCCTGTCATTGTTTCAGGCTTAGGTGGAGCAAGGGAACTGAGGCAACCAAGAGATTAGGAGACTCCTCACAGACAGAACGAAGACTCAGGCTGTGTCAAAGCTAAAGGGTGAAGGTCCATCACTCCTTTTCTGTAGCCCCCAAGTCCTTCCCTGGGGGCCCCATGATGGTGCCTGTCTTAGATCATCCTTCCCTTAAGGAATCTTACCCATCATTGGCTAACCAACCAAGCACTGGGGGGCCACACAGGGTGAAGTAAAAGATGCAGAGGCAGCACCCCTGCCAAGGAAGTAAGCTTTGTCTCCTTGGTGGCTTATGGGCCGAAGGTCACTCACTTAGCCTTAGCCAGGGGGGGTTTACAGCTCCTGAAACCAGGCAGGGAAGTTCCCAACATGTAAGTATTGAAATTTCAAGGTAAAATTAAGCTAAAGTCATGTAATTTTTTTTTAAGTGATGCAACTCTCATAGCTGAGAGTGCTAGGAAAATTCCCTTGGGAATTTCTTAAATAATGCCATTCATAGGCGATTATCTATCAAGGAAAGGATTGGGTGGGAGATGGGAAGTAATATAATCTAAACTTTGGGGATTACCCATGTTGTCTAATTAAAACAATTTCACAGACACTAAAATTTACAATGGTTTGACATAGTAGTGTGTTATTTCTCATCTTCCTCCTTTTAGGACTTAATCCTGATCTTAGAAAGCATCTCATGAGACATGTGTTTATCAATTTTCCACTTTTCACTCCAATTTTCCTTATTATGGGTCCTTCCCATTGCCTTAACAATATGGGCACTCCCCCATTAAATGAAAACTACCATTAATTGATTGTTCAATGCTTTTATCCCATTTCACTGCTGTTTCTTTATTCTACTAACTTACGTGTTCATTTTCTTTTGATTTTTAGAATTTTCATCTGTTGAACATGTTACCCACTTTTTCTGCTAGAGTCCTTAGCCAATAATCATAATTATTTAAAATTCTCAGTCTTACAATTCCAAAACTTCTGCCATATCTTAGTCTAGGTCTAATGCTTGCTTTGTTTCTTCAGACTGATTTTTGCCCTTTGGTTTGCCTTGTAATTTATTGTTGAAAGCTGAACATGTTTCAGGTAGTATGGACTGAGGGAAGTCCAAGCCTTTACTGTGAGGTTTTATGTTTACCTGGCTAGGAATTATGCTATTTGTTTGCTATAGCTGTAGGTTTCTGAGGCTTCAATTTTTTCTATTGTTCTGGTTTTTATCATCTCTGTATTTTAGGTTTCCTTAGAGACTCCTTCTTAAATAGTCTGAGCCTTGCAGTTATTCCCATTGCCAGCCAGCCCCCCATTATTACATAGGAGCCCTGTTGATGTGGTGGTGGTAAGATGTGGAGGGAGAGGCAATGTTCCATAATCTTTTAATTAGGTGTCAGTCTTTTAACAGGCCCTAGGCTGTGACCTTCATAAGTAATTTTCAGGCGTTTTTTTCTTATTAGGTATAACAAAAAGATTAGAGGGACTTGGAGTTGGGTATTTTCCCTCCACATTGATTAGGCTCTGATAAATTAGTTTTCCTTGAGGGTAGGCCCTTGTTAAGTAGAATTGAACATTCTAGGTATATTTCAAAATGGTAACTTCCTGTCCTTCTGCTGGAACTATCAGAGTTCCCCCCCGCCGCCCCATCTTCATAACTGATCTTCATAATAAGCCTGGAGGAGCTTGAGGAAGTACAATTCACAAAAGTGTGGAGGCTTCTTTAAGGCTGGGCCTCCAGGAGTTTTTATCTGTCAAATTACTCTATTCTCAGTCTTCAGCAATTATTAGTCAATTACCCTTTAAGAGCTGTTACAACTTGCTGGCTCTAGTGGCAGTTTCTGTTTCAAATAAGTTATGATTCTCTGCTTTCTCCTGCCTCTCAAACTTTCAGGTTTGCTGTAACCTCAGTTCTCTGTTGGATCTAAGAATGTGTTCAGTTTGCTCAGCCTTTTCTTGTTGTGAATATAGGGCTGATGATTTTCATGGTCTTTACATGTTGGACCAAACACCAGAAGTATATCTGTTCACTTTTTAACTCTTGCAATCTGTTGTCTCCATTGCTGTACAGAAACTACTCAAAGGTCAATAATGAATAACCTAAAGGTTTCAAAAACCACCAAATTAATGGGCTTTCTTGTCTACCTCTCTACAGCATTTGAAAATTTCCCTTTTTAACCTCAACTTTACTGGCTTAATTATTACTGGTCTAAATGCCTTTTTCTATCTCCATTTTCTCTCCTTGACCCTTTTAGCTTCACTTTTATCTCTAGGTTTTTATTTGGGGGGCTCAATTCATTTATTATCATTTCCATATCAGAATCTGCAGTTCTCACTTTTCCTTGAAATTCACTTTACCTAGTAATTTTCAACTGCTACCAGCCAGCTACCAGGATATCACTGATGTCTAAATTGAGCATATGTATAATTTAACTTATTGTGCCTTGGAAATAAAGGCTAATTTAAACATCACCCTAACACTATGAGGTAGATACCATTATTAACTTTAATTTACATATAGGAAAAATAAATTAAGAAACTTGCTCAAGAACACATAGTCTATGAATTAATAGAGTGAGCACTTAAATTGACCTCTTTGAGCTTAATTTTTCTCATTTGTAAAACATGGCTATTGAATATCTCACAAGTTATAAGAATTGAATTAGAAAAATATAGGTGGATGTT